ACTGAGACAAACCTTACCATTGAATACATGAAACCAAAGTGTCTGATTACTTACCTCGGAATACATGAAACCAATGTGAAAGATTTTATTGAAATATTGGTTAATGTATTGATGCACAAGTGATATGACACATATTCGAATCAATTTATAAATGTCATATATTTCATTTGATATAATAAATTTTTAAAAGAAAAATTCTCATCATAAGATCAAACTAAATTTTAATAATAAGGATATATATATATATATATATATGAAAAAAAATTATTTTCTTTCTCTAATCATAAACAGAAGGTATAATCATGAATATCATGGCGCAAAAGTTGATTTGCTGGAAAAAAATTGGAATCTAGATGTGACTTTGATGCATCAGATTGATAAGACCCTAAAGTCTTATCGTCGCTCTGATACCAATTGATAAGACCCTACGATCTTATCGTGGAAGAAAGGGGAGAAAATAGAGAAAAATGGGGATGATAATGATCGCTTCGAGGGGATCGGCCTCCTTGATTGCTTCGAGGGGATCGGCCCTCCTTGATCACTTCGAGGGGATCGACCCTCCTTGATCGCTTCGAGGGGATCGACCTCCTAGGGTTTGTCAAAAGACAGAATAGTATTTTTCATAGATTACATGAAGTGCAAATGGATAACATCATAAAAGGGATTTTAGATACACATTCATCATATTAATTGATTGGGTACTATGACCCATATATTACTTCCATTAAAGAAGGTTTTACTTGAATTTAGGATGCCAAAAAAACCCTGTCATACAATTATGGATTTAGAGCAAAGCAATCACAAACATTAATAGCATATATAGAAAAGAATCATGTCTTTTACTCCTTGTTTTCTCGCCACCCTAACCTGAGGAGACGTGCATGCCAAATACAAGCCCAGAGACTCTCAGCACACCATAAGTGACCAACATGGCCAACCAGCCTCCGATCAACAGCCTGAGGACAGAATTGGGCACATTAGCACCACCCAACACAGCTCCTGCCGCACCAAATCCAGCCAAGCCCAGGCTGCTCACCGCACACACCACCCCAACTCTGACCTCCCCTGACCTGATGAACGCTCCTGCCAACAGAGGCAGCACCGCCCCCAGCGAGAACGCCAGCGCCGAGGCTGCCGCCGCCAGCAGTGGGTTTGGCAGGCTCCCCTCCTCCTCCTCCTCCTCCTCCTTGACGCCCTCCTTCTCGCTCCCGCAGTCTCGGCGTCGCCTCTCCCGCTCCGCCACCTCGATGTCGTACTGCGCGTAGACGGAGACGAACTCGCCGATGGCCATGCTGCAGGCGCCCGCTACGAGGCCGGCCAGGCCGGACACCAGCATGGCCTTGGAGCTTTGGCCCACCGCGCCCACCCCCACCATCAAGGAGGCGACGGAAACGAGGCCGTCGTTGGCGCCGAGCACCACGGCGCGGAGCCACTGCGCTCGTGCCATGTAATCCACCGGATCGGCTTGCATCGATTCTGGCTCATGAGGTCGGGGCGGGATGGCGATCTGGACGCACCCATCTTGCTTTAGATCTTTGGTAACATCCCGCGACTGGTTTTCATGAACGTGACAGCTGAGACGGGACGACATTAGTAGTGTCTGGGAAGGGACAGTGGAGATTGGAGGCGTGTGTTGGCCACGTTAGGAAGAGAACAGTGGAGATTGGAATGGATTGCGGGAGTGTGTTGGCCACGTTAGGAAGAGAACAGTGGAGATTGGAATGGATTGGGGGAGTGTGTTGGCCACGTTAGGAAGAGAACAGTGGCGATTTGAATGAGATTGGGGGAGTGTGTTGGCCATGTTAGGAAGAGAATAGCGGAAATTGGAATGGGATTGGGGGAGTGTGTTTGGCTATGTTAGGATTGTAATGATAATAATAGGGGAGACTAATTAGCGTTATAGTAATTTTATATAATTTTAAGATTAGATCGATAAATTTATATCGAAAATATGTTTAATGAAAAGTGTGAGTAACGGTAACAAGTAAATCAATAAGTAATAATAAAATAAAAACAAAAGAAGAGATGCAAATCGGTTTATAGTGGTTCAGTCTTTCTGATTTATGTCTACTCTCAATTCCTCTTCCCTCGAGGTCATCGACTTTTACTATCGATCTTCTTTCCAACGAACAAAGATCAACTATTCTTATTATAGCTTTTCTCCTTTTATCAAACATTGAAAAGAATCTTCACACTTTTTTTTTTTTTTGTTAAGATCTCTCATCTCTTACAACTTAGTATTACTTCTAAACTCAAGAGAGAGGAACAGACTCAAAACACTTCTTAAAGAGAGAGTTTATAATATTTTTGTGTTCAAGAATTCATGCTTCATCAAGCAAGCATGAGTAAGATATTTATAGACCCAAAAAGGCTTCAAGAATAGAATCAAAAATTTAAATCCAAAAATTTTAGGGTACTGACAATTCTACCGCCAGCAACGGGCGATACTACTATCGTAACGGGCCACGAATCAAAGCTCTAGTAGTACTATCGTCGACCTAGGCGATACTACTACTGAAACAATTGAAAAAGCATAAATAGTATTTTTTTTGTTGACTCAAGCGATACTACTGCTTAGGCCTAACGGTACCATCGCCTAAGCCCACTTTAGGTCATCGATTTGACCTTCTAATAGGCCTAATTCGACTATGGTTCTAGCCCAATGGGTTCCTTATTAAGTTGGTATGGTTTCGATCTAATACCAACTCAATTTGACCTAAAAAGATCTCAATCAAGACTTTAACAATCCAACCATAAATCTAGCACAATTATGAAGCTTTCAGTATGTTGTACGCCATTCCGGCATGTCATCCGATCTTTTGGTACTTCGTCCTCGGCATGTCAACTAATCCTCTGATTCAACATCCAATTTCTGACATAATACTTTTCCAAGCATAATGTTTGATTCTCTTGCTTTAACAATTTACCTTTTTGATAGTTCGAGTCGGTGATCGAAGTATTTCCTATATCACTTATCTCAAAATATATTACTCCATAAACATATCAATCGAAGTATTTCCTTTTAGTATGATGCCCAAACTTATAGCACGAAGTTCAATTTTCGACACGTCAACTAATCCTCCGACTCAACGTTTAATTTTTGACATAATACTTTTTTCCGGCATAATATTTGATTCTCTTACTTCGATAATTTACTTTTTTTATAGTTCGAGTCCGTGATCGAAGTATTTCCTGTGTCACTTATCTCAAAATATATTAGTCCATAAACTTATCAATTGATTTCATCATCAAAATTCGGGATTCAACAATCACCCCATTTTTTATGATGAAAGCTAATTGATGATGGAGTTTTAACCAAGCTCTATCTGCCTATATGTCATTTTAAAAGGTTATGATAAACTTAAATTCAAATGATTACATGCCATTTTAAATGCATATACTGTATTCAAGTTGAAAGAAATTTAACCTTATTGATATTATGAATTAATGTTACTATTGAGTTCAAGTTGAGACAAATTCAATCTTGATATGCCTAAATATTCAATCAAGTTTTAAATTTTAAAAAATAATTAATAAAATTTAGGCATAAATTGCATCATAAGTCTCCTTATTCAATACATAAGTATCATTGTTTAACACATAAGTTATTTAAATCGATTTCACGATAGATTTAATAATCCTTGGTTGATAATAATAGAATCCAATAGTTTTTATTTTTTAGAAAAAGCTCTATTTTATTAGAATTTTCATATGTTGAATTTATTTTTTCAGATTAGTCTAATTATCCAGATTGGTTAATGCATTACCGCACGAGTGATATATCTCATATTCGAATCAACGTGTAAACATCATGTACTTTATTTGATATAATAATTTTTTATAGAAAAATTCTCATTATAGGATCAAACTAAATAACTAAATTTAATAATAATACATTTTTTTTTTAAATGAACACTTTTTTAGACTAAAAGTTATCTTTGGAATCTTAAAATTAATCTAGCTAAATCCAATGTCGAATGGTTTTCGTTTGATATATAAAAAAAAGGCACTTACCTTTTTTCTTTAAGGTCGACATAAGTTTCGACAATAATGGTTTTCATTTGAGAAAAAAAAAAGCTCTATTTTATTAAAATTTTCACATGTTGATTTTTTTTGGTGTGATTAGTCTAATTATTTATTCTCATTCCAAGATCTTATTGAAATATCTGGATTAGTTAATGCATTGATGCACAAGTGATATCTTTCATATTCCAATCAATGTGTAAACATCATACAATTTATTTGATATAATACATTTTTAAAGGAAAAATTCCTATTATAAGATCGA